TTTTTTTTTTTTTTTTTTTTTTTTAAAACCCCGGGAAACCTTCCCTCTGTTGTTTTCCCAAACTTTTTAATGGTAAAAAAAAAAAAAAAAAGGAGTATGACGAAAAGCGTTTGGTTTTCGAAGTTGACCTCCCGGAAACTCACGTACGCTTAATTGCCGCGGAGATTTTCCCACGACTTTTTTGTTTTCTAACGATGTGCATGTACACGCGAAACTTTTATCGAACAATTTTGTTGAGATTTTTTTCACATTCGACTGTTCGGATATTAAGTAAACTTCGGCGGTTCGTAAAAAAAAACGTTAACGCGTCGAGAAACTCAGAAAACCGAGTTTTTGCTTAGAGATTCGAGTAAATCGAGAAAAGTTGTTGGGAAATAACATAGACGTATAATATATAGACTGCGCGTTCCCTACCTTTGCCATGTTAAGAAAATGTCTTCAACGTTGAGAGAGACAGCTGGTGTTGAACAGTAGCCTCATCTTTGTCTAGCGAAGTAGTGGGGGAAAAAGAAGTCTTCGCTGATTGATGGAACAGTAGTGGAAAAGTGGGGATAGAAAAATAGTGGGGGTGAAGAAAAGTGAAAGAGATTAAGGGGTGATGGTAGGTTAGGTGGTATGAAACAGTAGGCCCTGATCTCACCACAGACATTGATAGACAGAGAAAGAGTTACTATTCAAAGTATGTTGTCTCCCTCAACGTTGAAGACATCTTTTCAGCCAAACGCGCAGTCTATATATTATACGTCTATGGGAAATAAGTGGTAAAAACAAAAATTTAAGTGTTTTGAAAATTAAACGCGCGCAACAATTGTGATCGAAAAAAAATTCAAGACTGTGTGTGCGCGCGAGAGAAGTTCGCGCTCGGCGATACGAGCCACGTATCTGTCATCTCGAAAGAAGGTTCTCGCAACGTGTTGCGAGAGTTTGAGGCCGCGCGTGTTTCTGTGCTTCCACGTACCTACATATATATACATTTTCGTCGACTTACCAATAACTACACGAAACTAACCCACAAACTCCGAGACGTCACGTATTAACCAATCGGATCGGTCGACGACGGTATCAACACGCGTCTGCGCGCATGTATTGCCGCGACATGTATAATACAATGCGAGTAATTTTGAGGTTCGAGTTCAGACGCGGTCACGTATACACAGGAATTACGTGAGACAAACTACGTCGACCTGTGCGTGATCGCGCACAGGATGTGCTCGCATGTTACCGTCTACACGGAATGTCCCCGAGCCAAGGTGTTATATGTTGGCAGCATAAACGGAGAATTTCGAGAATCAATATATCCAAATTCTCTCGCAATCACAGTGCCGGTTTGTGTGTATACCCGGTAAAACATGTTTTATATATACTTATACACAAATTAAAATAATTATATTTAATGCAAATTTATATGCCGAATATGTCTATACAATTTTATACACGGAGAATTTCTTTTTTTAAGAGAATGGCTTCAGAGATATTCCATATCAAATTACAAAATAACTCTATTAGTATCATGTTAGATACAAAAAATTATATAAAACTATATTTTTACT